CTGGCCTGGTTTTCTTCAGTCGCTATTTAAAAATAGGCGCCTGAAGGTTAAAGACTGATTGAAATTATTGTTTGCGCCTTTAAATTAAATGTATGCTAGTTTGTTCAAATGTTTTGTCTGACTTCCATATCTCTACAAGATTCTTTCCAAAATGAAAAACCATCGATATCTGCTTCTTTTTTTATCATATTTTCCACATTTGTGTTTAAGACGGATATATAAGGTGCCTACGATGCATATATGGTAGGATCTCTGATAATACTTTTGTTACATTTGCATTTGTTTTGATGCGTCTATTTATGTTCCATTCAAGCCTAGCTTACAGAGGTCCAGCTAAACTTCCCATCACCTTTCAAGTTGGTCTTGCAGCTTATATAAATAGCTGTCGGTTTTATTTGATGACGTGACTAGTCACTAAACTTTTTGTTTCGGAGTTTAAGGTGGGGGACCCAAGAGAAAGTATTTCAGATTTTGATTTCGCAAAGAAACTTTGATATTTTGCCATTCTCCAAACCGTCTTGCAAATATTTTTCCAACTTTTTACCATTTCTTCGTTGATTGGTTTTCCGAGAGAGATGTTGCTTTTAGCATCCGCTCCCAGAATATCCTGATACTGAATTTTTGTAGAAATAATTTAGTTTAAAATATGGAAAAGCAATTGTAAAACTAATATAGAAGACATATTAAATAAATAAATTAATCTAATAAAACACATAAATATAGTTAAAAATAGTAAAATACATAATACAAAATGGTTGTGTAAAAACATTCATAATGATGTTCCGAAGAGATGTACATATAGAAATCCAGTAGAAGACAGATAAAGCGAAGATAATTAGAATACTTTTGGAAGAACAACATAGATGTCAGTAATTAAAAGCTCCTAGCAATTAGTGTTATGTGAGCCATTTCATTATTCAGTCATGCTCTAACCCTCCAAGTCCCTCTCTGTCTTATTTGGCCTTTGAGGCTTAACTTGTCCGATTATCATACATAATTAAACCCCTAAGATCAAACCTATGTGATGACTATGGCGGAAGAGTTTTCGATTAATGTTCGAGAAAAGACGGGATAATGTTTCTAGAGTATTTGATGAACTTTCTAGCTCATTCGCCAAACTTTTAAATTTGTATATAAATATTGGTGGAGAACCAAGCGAAAGTTAGTTACTATATGGACAGTGAAGATAAATAGTTATTAGTAGATAGACAGTGGTGAATATAAATAGTGAACAGTTCAAAAATATTTCAAATATATATAAATTAGAATAATAGTGTTATAAATAAATAAGTGTTTAAATAAATTATTTACAAATAAACTGTTTTTTAAAATAAACAAACATCACATTAGTATAACGAAAACCTACTTTAGATGTAGTTTTTAAACAAGCATCTGCATAAAATTTAATGTTTTAAGTTAAACATAACCTAATTTTCTAAAGTTCATGTTTGTAGGCAAATATAAATAAATAAAATCAGTAAACTAAATTACATTTTTTTTAAAACGTCCATCATCTCAATTCCATTCTTCTTTTTACCCACCTCAACGAAAATACGACGCAAAACATTCTAATTTGATTGCTTAGACTACAGGCGTTTACTTTTTACCCAATTTCGCCAAACTTTGCGGTCTTTTTTCAAAAAGAAAAGCAATTTATAATTTATTTCTTTTTATTCGTCCATTTATTCCACGCACAGTTTTAGTTCAGGTCCCCGGTTAATCTTAAACTAATATTGAAATTGAAAAAGTCGAAAGAGGCGACGAGGTCTTAGGTACACCAACCAACGCAACCAGACGATTCACTTGCTATTTTATTTTGAATGAAAATTTAAAATTCGGTTCTGGTCCTCGCCTCAGGAATCATAATTTTTCATCTAAACTTTAAATTAACAAACGTGACTGGTGTTATAATAAAATTTTACAATATCTAAGATAGTTTTAGAACTTTGACATCCGTCATTGTTTTTGCCATAAATAGGGAGTTAAATTTTGCAAAGCTGTGATATATTATTGTTATAATTTTTAATAAATCGAACAAAAGGATTCTCTAATTTAGATTAAATTTAAATATCTTCCAGATAATATGACCGTTTATAATAAAAATAATTTTGCCAAGACAGTGACATTTGTAATATAATAAGAATTTGATAAAAAACCTATAAATTTACATGTAAACAATATTAAATTATAAAATTTAAAAACAGAGATACTTTAAATCAACCTCATACTATGAATGGTACATAATTACTTTTGCCAATTGTGATTTACAAAAATTGGTGACAAAAGGAATGCCAGCATGAAACTATTTCGATAGTAGTTCAAGAGACGCTAAATTGGTTTCCAGCTTATCGAGACTGAGACCCACAAGGGTAAATTCGTAGCGTAAAAAAAACGAGAAATAATTTGATTTGAAACGAAAGACCGTATGCGAATAGTAGTATAAAGATGTTGAATTTTCGAGTTTGTAAAGTATAGCTTTCAAAAGCAATATGTGGTAAGTATACCAGACAGTAGAGAGTGGATAGGAGGACCTCCTATTCATGCAGAATTCATTTGGTATATAGACGGCTTCAAAACCCATGTAGGTTTAGGAATAACTAAATATAGAACCAAGCTGCCAAAGAAAAGAATCTCTTTGAGCTTAGGTAAACATGCGGCAGTATTCCAGACAGAAATAACAATAATATATCACTGCGCAAAATAGGTATTAAGACAGAAGGTAATTGGAAAAATTATTGTCATATACTTAGACAGTCAAGCAACGTTACAAACACTCAAGTTCTATGCAAGTACACTCAATGCTTGTGTGGGACTGTTTGGAAGCCCTAACAGAGCTGGATAGTCAAAACAGACTAACTTTAGCCTGCGTACTAGACCACAGAGGATATAAGGACAATGAAGAGGCGATTTACTAGCCCGAGAAGGAGCCTCGAAGGCTCTTATTGGCCCAGAACCCTTTTGTGTTATCACAAAGACAACTATCAGAACATGCAAAAAGCAGTGAATCTTTAAAAAATTTTAGAAGTAGAGGAAATATTCACCAGAACATATGCCAAAAAGTTCTTAAAAGGACAATCGCCTAAACTCACCGAGCAACTGCTAAACCTTAATAGGAAAAATACTAGAGTATTAGTAGGTCTATTAATAAAACATTGTAGATTTAACAAACTTATGTATGATATCGGTCTAACAGAAGAGACCATGTGCCGATTCTATCAACAAAAGAAGAAAAGTGCAGAAACCGTATTGTGCTACTGCGATGGTCTAGCATAGGGTTGCCATCCGTCCCGGTACGCCGGGACATGTCACCAGTTTGGAATGTCTGTCCCGGTCGTCCCGGTTGATCTAGAAAATGTCCCGGTAACGTTCGCTCGCGCCGCGCTGGCGCGGACACGAGTTAGATCCTAACCCCGAGCTTCACCCGTTGACGCAACATGTGCTTACCTCATTACCTACCTAGTTCAATTCTAATCAAGCAAGCGAGCCGCGGTGTCATTTATGCGTGCGCGTGCAGCAATTAGACGCGTGACAAAATTAGAAAACTGACTGGACGAGACGAGTGATTTACAGATTAGAAGGTATTTTAAATACAGTATTTATGATGCCAAAACGTAAGTGTCATTTCTCAGATGATTACACGAAACAGTGGTCGTTTATTAAGAAAGGCAGAAGTGAATTCGAAGCGCAGTGCACAATATGCAATTTATTTCCGTAAGCCACAGTGGTAAAACTTCAGTACAGGACCATATTAAATCCAGTGGGCATAAGTCTAAGATTTCGGCGGCCTCTACTTCACATATTTCATCATTCATGGTTAGAGAAAACACGCCAGAAGATACTTTAGTGTATGCGGCAGAATTAACAACGGCTTATAAAGTTGTTAATCACCATCAGTCATTTAATTCACTGGACTGCAACACAAAATTGAACACTGTCCTGTATCCAGATTCAAAAATTGCTGCGAAACAGTCAACCGCACGAACAAAAGCTACAGCAATAATAAAAAACGTATTAGCACCACATTCTGTGCAAAAGACAAAAGAAGAACTTGAGAAAATTCCATTTTACGGAATTTTAACTGATGCAAGCAATCACAATGCTGAAAAGTTGTTTCCCCTTCTTATTCAGTATTTCTCAGAAACCGATGGCATGCAGTTGAAGTTGCTTAAACTGGATTCGTTGGAAAACGAGACATCAGAAACTATTGTTACTTTCTGCATAAATACACTGAATAATTTAAATATTCCTTTGGAAAAGCTAATGGGGGACAAGACAGGCAAGGGACGAACAACGTTCACTTCAAACTGAAATCGAAACTTTCTAAAGACATTGAAGGCATTGGTTGTCCTGCTCACATTCTACATAATACAGCATCTACATCTGCTGACGTACTTTCTATTGATGTGGAGTCAATAGTACTCAAGATTTACAAGTATTTTTCTATATATACAGTACGGAATGAGCGTCTTAAATCTTTTTGTGAGGCAGCTGATGTAATTAATGCTAATTTACAATCCCACTCAAGAACGAGATGGTTATCATTGTTGCCGGCGATTGAACGTATTCTGAAACTATGGGAACCACTAAAAGAATTTTTTTTGCAGAGACCAGACTACCCAAAGTGATAATCGATTTCTTTAACAACCCAATATCACAAGTTTACTTTCTGTTTTTACATAGCCAATCGTTTTTATTCGAGACACAAATAAAGAAAATAGAAAAATCCAACATAACCATCATCGAAGTCAAAGAACTCATAAACAGTCTTGAGAAAACTCTGTCAGAACGAGCTGCAGGCAAGTCTTTAGGAATCCAAACAAAGCTTGAATATGACAAGATAAAAAATATTCCTCAGCATTCAGATTTAATAAAATTATTTGACGAAGAAATTGATCTTTATTACAAAACTTCTCTGGAATACTTAAAACAATGGAGTTCTCCCCTGACAAAGTTTGAAATATTTTTATAGATGAATCTTGCTGACCCACCACAATGGCAGGATGTTGAAAAGACTGAATTATTTACAAGAGAAAGGAATTGTTATTAGCGACGGCGTATTTGAAGAAATATCATACCTCAAAGACTTTGTAGAAAAACGAAGGGATAATGAAATTTGGACCAGAAAAGCCATGTACGAAAAATGGTTGACTTTCTTTCAAGAAAGCGACATTTTAGAAAGGAAACAGACCTTAATTTTGATGTGCCAATACTTATACGCAATTCCTGGTCACAACGCCAATGTGGAAAGAATATTTTCTTTGGTAGTTGCACAGTGGACTAAAGAACGCAATCGCCTTCAAATAGAAACAGTCGAAAGCATAGTTCAAACAAAATTCAATTTTAATATGACATGTTCAAAATTCCATAAGTACGTTATGGGTAAACCTGACCTGCTGCAGAAAGTGAAGAAATCTGAGAAATATAATTAATTAGTGTTTGGTATCGACTATATTATTTTATGATTTATGTGAGAGGTAAAGTTTAATAAAGTTATATTGTAACTTGTATTATTTTTAATTTTTTTACTAGGATATTTTCGAGTTATCGTCCCGGCCAGTGGCGTATCATGACCACAAAAAGCAGGGGTCACATGCCCATGCATTTAAAAATTTCCCCTCTTCGTGAAAAAACTAGAAGTTTTAAATTAACGGTTAAAAACCTAAAAAAAGTGGAGGGACCCGGGCCCCCAGGCCTCCCCGAGCATACGCCACTGTCCCGGTCAGTAACTGGACTTTTATGGCAACCCTAGTCTAGCAAGACTGAGACTCCTTACACTTGAAGAAGAAAAACCAAAGGCAACTAACTACGCCGTATAACTACTTCCCCTAGTCTATGGAGTTTACTATAAAATATGGGTACTCCAAACAACGATTAAAAGATATCAACAATAGATCTGAAAAGGTCGAGATGCGGGAAGCCACATCGCCCACAGTTTTAATTAAATCTAATCTATACTTATTAAAACAAAAATAAAACCTGAATCGATAATAAATCACTAAAAATGTTGCTAGAGCTGGGGACGTCTTTATGGAAAATTTTATTGTTACTCTTTTATCAATAAATCTACAGTTCATTTTGCTTTGCATTTTATTTAAATGTAAATATATTGACACTTCAACCTTTTTATGCTTCTAGTTGATATTCTTGTGTAAAGCAGTGGTTCTTAAAGTGGGCGATATCACCCCCTTGGGAGGCGCTGAAAGTCTGTATGGGGGCGGTAGAAGGCCCAGGGGAAAATGAAGAGCGTTAAGGCGGCGGTGATACTTATTAAAAAATATTGTTTTTCTACGACCGTGTATTTTTACCCACTTTCCCGCACGCATTTTAGTTTTGAAAGTGTCACTTTCCTGCACTAGTGCGGCAAAGTAAAATTATGAATATTTGGCCTTACCTATTGTATAGTTTTTTTACTTTGGATGTTATAACTATTGTTACAATAGGTAATTTAGTATTTTCCAACTATTCCATTTAATAAAATTTAATTTTTTTCTTGCTTTTTGTTATAATTTTAATTTTTTGGAAAACTTGAATAATAGAGATATTTTTATATACCTTCTGTATATTTTTAAAAGTCAGACTAGGCTGTGACATGTATGGCTTGATATGGTTGCTTTATGGTAACCAAGGCGTGTTATTGTTACAAAACGTCAAAGTTGTTTGTTGAAGCGTCAACTGAATTAAAATAAATTAAAAAAATAATGGATTCATCGGATGAAGAGCTGCCCGAAGCCATTTTAAAAGCTGCAAATGAAGCACATTTGGAGGTGTTACCTGCCAAATCACGAGGAATATATGAAAAACAATACGACCATTTTGTCACATGGTGTAAACAGGAAGGGGTAAAAACCTACAAAGAAGAGGTGTTTCTGGCGTATTTTTCGCACCTAAGTAAGTTTTTGAAATCTAATACTTTATGGTCTCGCTATTCGATGGTGAAAAGTTTAGTAAAAATAAAACAAAATTTGGATATAAGCCAGTTCCATAAGTTATCGTCATTTCTAAAACAAAAAAATGTTAGTTTTCGAGCACAGAAGGCGCAGGTTTTTACCAAAGAAGATATATCCAGGTTTATGTTAGCCCCTGATGAGGTATACCTTATGATTAAAGTGAGTACCATTTTTGCTTTAGCTGGTGCTCTCCGCAGAGCGGAGCTTGTAAATATCACTCTCGATGATATACAAGATAAAGGCAATCTGATAGTTGTGAAAATTTCCGATTCCAAAAATCATTCTTCAAGATCATTTGTTTTATGTGAAGAAATAAATAATGGAAACTTTCTGAAGCTGTACAGAAAGTACGCAGGTTTACGACCACCTACCACTCTGCATCGCCGCTTTTTTATTAATTATAAGAAGGGAAAATGCTCAATTCAGTGCGTTGGCGTAAACACCTTTGGTAAGATGCCAACAGAGATTGCTGCATATTTGCGTCTACCTAATCCTGAACGATATACAGGACACAGTTTTAGACGTTCTTCAGCATCATTCCTAGCAGACTCAGGTGAAGCGATAACCAATATAAAACGTCTCGGTGGCTGGAAGTCCACTACTATCGCTGAAGGCTATTTGGAGGACTCCGAAACACAGAAGAAAAACATTTCGAATAAAATTCTTTCAAATAGAAATGACTTGCAACCTTTGCTGCCACCGTCATTTTCACCTTCATGCGACCTGCAACCGATGTCACTCCCGTCCACGTCATCTTTTCAATCTACGAGCGTTACGACTATTAACAGCCAATTAACACCAACTAATTCCTCTGTACCGGTAATTTTACATAATTTACAAAATGCTACAAATTGTGTATTTAACATTAATATCCACAATAATTAGTTGTCTTTATTTAAAGATTTGTATATGTTGAAATAAAATAATTTTCCAAAAATAATTTTTCCTACTTTTTTGTATATACGGTCGTAGAAAAAATAATGTTCCTAACTCATGCGTAAAGTGTCTTTCCCGCACTTGACCGCTTGCCCGAACTCCGCTTCGCGTCGTTCGGGCCAACTGCAGTCGCGTGCGGGAAAGTAACACTTTCCGCACTTGTTGGGAAAATAAGTATTTTGTCATTGAACTATATTTAGTGAAAAAACTTTTTATTTATTGCACTAGTGCAATAAAAATTTTATTGTCACATGGTGACATTTTACTACAACGTTTTATGATCATGACAAACATAAATATTCAAATCGACGCCAAATATTTAGTTAATTTTCATTTTCTGTGAGATTGTATTACGTTTTATAAACAATTGCATATTTCATATAATTTTCAATGATAATCGATGCTAATAATTATTAGTTATTAAATATTTTGCTATTAAATTACGCTTTTTATTCTTTTGCACTTAGTGTCGCCTAAATAAAACATTTTTGGTTTTTGCATGAACGTAGAAAAAATATTGTATGCAACTCGTGCAAAAAGTGTTTATTGCACTCGACGTGTTGTCAATTTCACGTCGCGTGCAATAAACACTTACTTTTTGCACTTGTTGCATTCTATAAATAAAATTCTTCCGCTACCTACTTTACTTATAGAATCGCGTATTAAAACTAAAATTAAGTAGATACCTTCCTATTAGTAGCGGTTTCTCAATTGGTACATTTCTGCAGTGAACACCCAATTAAATTTAATAATGAAATATACAGGGTGGTCCACCGGTAACGCCTCGGTCTGTATATCCAAAACTAAACTTTTTTAAAAAATTCTGTTTTTACGGTGAGATGTATATTAGAAAAGGCAACAATTTAAAAATAATTTCAATAATACAGGGTGCTCCAGGAAATTGGAATATATCAAAGTTAGGTTTTTTAATCGGGACACCCTATATTTTATTGAATTTTTGAAATCTATAAAGAAAATTAGTGTAACTTTGTTAAGGGGTTGTTATACCTAGAGTCTATCATTTTTGATATATTCAAGGATTTTCAAAATTTTCGGGTGTTCAAAAAATGCAAATAGGTATATCCTACATTTCTTATTATTTCAAATTGATTTTTTTAAGGTATATTAAGCGTCTTCTGGGCTGTAACCTCAAATACTTACTGATTAAAAATATTATAGACGGCCCAGGCAGCACACTTTGGTATAAATTACGTATTTTTTTAGGTACTACCATACGTATGAATACGGTTGATGTACTACCAAATATATTCGTGAAAATGTCCGCCTTATAAACGTCGATTACTAAGAATTTATCCACCTATAATTAAACGTTTTTACTATACGTCTATATTAGATTTATAGTTGTAGTATATTTATACGAATTCACTTTGGTATAAAATACGTTTTTTTATGTACTACAATATACGTATGGATACTGTTGATATGCTACCCAATATATACGTGAAAATGTCCGCCCTATAAACGTATTTTTTTTATTTTTTATACCTCTAACATTACTACTTTATCTACCTTTAATTATCCTGTTATACTATACGTCTATATTAGATATATTTGTATGATTTTTATTAATGTGTAAAATGCGTCTACCTGAAAACAAATTAAATAAAGTGATCAAAACAAAATTTCTAAAAGAGGCCATGGAAAAATGTTAATATTTCTTAAATGATAATTTGGATTTTATCCATAGAAGGGGTGTATACACCAGAAATAGGCATTACTCGTGTTTCTATTTTGGTTGTAATTGGCCTAAATATTTAGAAAAAATTTTTGATCACTTGTTATACAGAACAATATTTAATTAAAAAAAAATAAACAATAAAATACTAAAAAATAAATAAATACAAAAAAATAAACACTAAAATACTGAATAACAAACTAAACGAAACTTTTCTTTAACTAACAAAAAATATACATGAAAATAAAAATCTAAGCTTAGCACTTTGGATGTGTTGTGTCCTAGACGGGCCTTAGCTAACTTAAGCTAATCTTGCATGGCACACCTAATCGTTCGGTCGGTTAAGTCGCTTGGTTCACCCCCATTCCTATAACCAAAATGTTACTCAATTTCAGGTGAAATATTTTCTAAAAGCTCCGAAGTTAAATTTGTATTATTTTCTTGGAAATTATTATAAATAATAGAATCAGATTATATATTAAATATCCGAAGCCTTATTAATGTAATCTTCATTGGGAATAAAAAAAAATGATTTGACTTTAAAGCATCTTGAACATTTTGCACTATTTTTCTACGTAGATGACGCAGAGACAGGGTTATTTTAGACATTTTATTAAATAAAAAACAAGTGACCAAAAAAAAGGAAAATAAGTACGCTTGGAATAACTAGGTAACCTAAAAAATACGTATAAAAATAAAAGAAACAAAAGTAAGGTTATGTTTTGAAGTTTCTATAAGCGTTTAACACACTGTACGTACCTATAAAACAGTAGTTGTTGTAAAATGCAACAATTATTAAAGGAGTAGATAAATTAAAACATTAATAGAAACTTACTTATGCTTTTAATCA